AATTTCCTATAGGTGAGGGCTCCAGTAAATATAAGGACCATCTCTTATCAATTGATTCAGTGTTGCTACAGGAGAAACCTAAACTAAACTAACTTTATTTATACTGAGTAGCTCTATCAGTTCTGAACTGTTCTTCCTAGATGTCCATGCAGTAAGGATCATCTCTTATTGATCCAGTGTTACTACAGGAAGAAATTTAAACTAAACTAACTTTATTTATACTGGATAGCTCTATCAGTTCTAAACTGTTCTTCCTAGAGGTCCAGTAAGGATCATCTCTTGTTGATCCAGTGTTACTACAGGAGGAAATCCGAGCATTCCTGAACGCATTCTTTTGGTATTACAGACCCGAAACAAAAAAATGTTGAAATTATTAAACTTCGCGTGAAACGTAAAGATGCATACATGTAAATCAGAAAATCACTGACTGCTCTGGCATACCAGGAATTGTACTTAGCCCGATTTCGTTGATCACAAGCAGTTGTCGAAATCGAAATCTGTACAACATAGAATATTTCTAAAGACGTTTGCGTGTTTAATTTTAGCGTGAACATTGTCACTAGAAACTCTCAATATGTAGGCACACACGACATATAATACTAACACCAAGCAAAACTACGAGTTAGCGAGGAGTTCCAGTTAAGCGAGTTCGAGTTAGAGGGAACTACTGTATTGCTATCATAAAGGAATAATATATGGGAGTACGAAGTTGTGTGTTTTGAAATATGACACTCGCTAGCTGTGTAATAAATCCACGAAGCATCTAATACGTTGTTTTTTGTTATTAATAAGCGGAGTCTATCACGACATAATGTATTTCTAAGGAAATTTTCTTGTCTACAAATTTTGTCGTTAATGTTGTCATGCACTAGAAAAACACAACATCCACATCACAGCCTAAAAATGAAATATGCTTTTGACTTGTTTGAGGAGTATATAGTTCAGATTAAAAAAAACACATATATGATGACTCATGGTGATTTTTAGCTATCAGTTAACGAGTATATAGTCAAATGGTTTTTAGTTATTTTGATACTTCATGCAAGTAACATGACATGTGTTGTAGCCCTAAATGTGTTAACTTTTATTCTTTATCATGTCAAACCCATGTAATACATTGGCTTTTGCCTATCATGATTGTTATCGTCATTTTATATCATATATAAACACAACAGCTATAGACATAGTGGTCCGTGGCCGCGTGAGTTCACCTCACAGCTTTCACACTTTCACTAACCTTTCCTGTTTATTGCTCTTTATAACACACTAAATATTTCTCTATACTTCACTGATTTCTATTTTGACGCACTTTTTTTCCGCAACTGGATGTGTTTGATTAACCTGTTTAAACTGGTTTAAAGATTCATTGAAGGTAGCTTTGAAACCTAGCTTAATATTGTGTTATCAAAATATGCAGAAAAGCTAACAGAAACGTACATGCATGCAGAAATAATAAAAGCTGTGCTGCATGGAATAACTTTACATGGTCGAATATTAGGTATTAACTTTACGCCGTTTAGAATAACAATTCCACCTTTCTTTGACAGTTTCACTGTGGTACCAAACGAGCTGTTGGCATTGGCAAATTCTGCGAGTTCAAATTAGAAATTGAAATTCCCTAAATTCTTTTCTATACTTCACTGATTTGTATTTTGCACATTCAATCTGTCCTATGGTTATTTTCGATCTGAATCGAAGACGCTGTAAGACCGGTTTAAAGATTCCATAACCCCATGCACCTGGCAGAAGCATGTGGAGCTTATATTTTATTTTTATGCGATGATCATGAGCGCACGAGTCGATGCAAGCTTACGTTATGCCTTTGGGTTTAAAAAAATTCACCTCTGTTTATTAGTTTCCACTTCTTCGATTATCCGTTTTCCATGAAAAAAAGGTAAAATATTACTCATATAATTCTCAAAATTCGCACATTTCGCTTTTTTTAACATCTCAAACAGTCCCGTGAATTATCCTAGTTTTTGTGAATTGTTTATCCAAAGTTGTTTTTCTATTTAAAAGGATCTACGGAATTTACTGCGCATCGTATATGTGTACTTCAAGAAGTTTAAGACCTGTCATCCTCAAAAAAGAGTTTCCATGGTAGCATTTGTTTATAGCTAGCTGTTTGTGCGACTGAATATTAAAACTTTTTCCTAATATTAGAACTTTTCTTTTTGTAATTGTGCTGCATGATATGATGATAAAAAACATCTTAAATTTGAGCACATTTTCACCTTTAAAGTTTACTACTTCAGGCCAAGCAAAAATAATAAATTCGCTAGACTATAATATGCAGTCGGGTTATCAGGCGTAATTTATATCAATAGAAAACACAAAACGCGATTCACAGTTTAAAATACAAAGGTATTTTATATTATAGACTTCAAAAATATTTTAGTTTTCGAATATGATAAAGACCTAGCTATACTAACCTTACTTGTCGTGGCCTTGGTTGAGTGCTAGGTCAGGAGCCATTCACTTTATACTGTGCCTTCAGTGACTCATCAGGTCCAATTTATACGTAGAATTTTGCAATTAAATCTTCGTTCATGTGAAATTTTATAAACTGCAATCATTCTCCATGCATGCAGTCACAGGGGGAAATAATTTTTTATTGTACGAATACATTAAATGATCCAAGCACGAGGGATGTTGCGAGACTTTTGGAAAGCGTAAAAAAAACACGAGCTGCATTTTCCGCTTCCCGAAAGTCGAGCAGCATCCCGAGTGCATGGATGACACGGAAAACATTTTGTAATTGTTTTATAAAATAACTACAGTAAAACAACAATATTTTGAGAATCCCGCGAAAATCCCGCGAGTGCATTTTAAATTCCTCGTGCAGGATTACCTGATCCTATTGACCAATCAAATTGTGTGTTTTACTGTAGTTATTATAATATAATTGTTTTTCCCAAAATTGAAGGGTAATAAGTTCGACATGCGATTACACAAAAGAAGAAATTCGCTTCGCGCAAAAAAATATGGCTTGTGGTTTTTCTTGTTTGCATATTGATATTGCATCTGAATTGTTCAATTTTTCATGGCAAATGGAAAACATGAAACAAGTTAATTAAATATAACTGCGGGGAGCCTGAACGTGGCAATGTTTGTTTTAATGTAAAGATTTTCAGTGCCACGTTGAAAAACGGCATGTTACTCGGCCTTTTCCAATTATGATATTCATCATCCTTGACGAGTGCTGGTCTTAATTTTCATATCCATATATGGCTGAACTTAAAACGAAAATGTCGAAAACAGTACATATTATAAGGCCTGGCCCTTACGTACACTGATGAATTTGTTAATTATTCGGTGTAGGTGCCAATGACTATTCCAGGTAGACAGTGATTTATTTGGCTGCGTTATTTAAACAGGCATGCGGTTATTCATATCTGCGAGATCTGCAATCTCATGCAATATAATATGTGCCACCATGCGTTTTTAATCTTGACACCCCTTCCCCCTATCTCAATGTTGACACCCCTTCCCCCTATCTCAATACTAGGATACTAGGAAAACGGATACTAGGAATTAGGACTATACAATAACTGAATGCAACGTTATATATTCTACTATTAAAGCGCCTGGGTACGAGGCTGGAATTAGGAAATGTTGAATAACCCCTGCTGTATACGAGCTGATGCCATTATAATTTGGTGTATACATATTACCAAAGTGTGTTTCTTCATCCATTTTATCTCTGGTTACACAACATGCCTTTGAATGAAATTTAAAGGAATAGGTTAGCTGCAGAGAAGAGCGTGCTGGATGATTTCTTTCCTTGCTGTGTAAAATGGTCTCTGTTTTTTGTTCTTAGAAAGCCTGTCCTATTTAAATATTTGGGTATTGCGGTATAAAAACGTGATCTGGCTTATAGATAAATCATTTATCAATAAATGAGGCGATATACTTTTAAACTGAGGCGATATTTTGTATTGCAAAAACAGCGACAGTTTAATAGTTCTCGTCGAGATAAGTCACCACCATGCATGCAGCTTTTGCAAAATGTATCAAATTCAGTCTCATGCAAAGTGAAAGTGATACTGATACTGATACTGATACTGCATACATTCTAATATTTTGAGCGTTGGGAAATCGTCGCGAAGATGAGAATGTCAGTGGAGATAACTAAGTCACAAAATTGTTAAATAACTTACAATTAATCTTCTCTAACAATCCAGGTTTACAACACAAGGATATAACTTTTGTTTATGTATAGATACGTGTTTGTATTTTTGTTATTTTAAGATAAAACAATCAATAAAAAGCTCTGCTGTATCTAGAATATAATTATGTTTGTTTAGGGACCTTAGGTCCATTTAGAATCATCTATAGAACTTGTATGTGTGCTTACGTCAGGTTTATGTCGCTCGTTGAACATTGTCGCGATGCAATGTGGGAAACATGGAGGACAAAATGTACTTTATTTTACACGCTTGAAAACTTTATAACGTAGGCACTTCTGTAAATGGCTTATCAACAGCTTTGTCCTCGTTGAACAATCGAGACTATTTCGGTGCAATGAATAAATTGGACTTTCATTTTGAAAAATCAAGATGCAATGTTAACAGTAAAATACTTTCAAATTTCGAGATATTGCCATTAGTACGTGATGTGCAACCCAAATTAAACCAAACTTTGTAACCCAAACTGTGAATTCGACATTATACAATGTCGTTGTACAGAAGCCATCAGGCTGTCGTGCAATATATCAGACAGAAATATATCATGACAACGAACGAGAGCTATAATGTTACAATTGCCTTTTGGCAATATACATCAAGACATTATTTGTTTACTACTATACTAGCTAAAATGTCAGAGCTATCGCATAACTGTATATTAAGAGTGTGCCGTGTGCGACTGTCGTTGTTTAAGTCGGCAACGTCGGTTGGCTCAACAATTAAGGAGTGTCTTTCATTTATTTGTGTACATTTTGTCTCGAAGGCAAAACAGTTAGCCTCGCAACAGTCTTCTAGAATTATTCATGATTCATCTCACTGACATACGCAACTACTGTAAATACTACTCTCTGTTCTACTGGTTAGATTCGGCAAGGAACTCGAACTTTCTGGCGAAGATGGAAAACTTTCGCTAGCACCCATTTCTCGAAGGAAATAACTCATAGGTTTCCCTGTTCTCAAATGACCTTCGTAGGCTTCGAGCCAAACTCTTCCTTTCATAATGACTTCATACAGCGACGAACGATCCGTCCATTGGCTGGGGTGATAGTGGCAAATTTGCAAATACCCGTCACGTTTTCCTAAAGTGTGCGCCAAAAACCCCCAATCAGGCATGGGTTTTGGCGAGGATATGACGACCATATCAGGAATCGAATTTGGAAAATCGCCGATGTAAACCCTGAGAGTGTATTCGTTGTCGTTGTTGGTTTTCAAATTTATCTCCACTTTTGTATCGCCAGTTGGATCAATCCATTTCACACTGCCAGGAAAGAAATGATCCAGCACACTTTTCTCTGCAGCTAACCTATTTCTCTGAGCTTCACTCCAGGGCATTTTTTATACGAGAGTTCAATAACGCGTTCCTTCCCGACTTGGTTTCAAGTCTATTTGCATGGCTACGTACGTACGTGTGGCATATGCATATTTAAAAGTTGTTTATAGTCTTTTTCTTGGAAATGGGGCAAAAACATTAGCAAAAACATGTCGTAGCCTGGCTGTTGATTTCGATAGGCTGGCTAAGCTGCTGTAAACATTAACACCGGCGGTGTTTCGTGAAATGAAACAAGAGCGAAGTCTTCAAATTATAAGCAACACAATAAGCGGTAGTTAAGCTGGTTACCTAATATTGTCGGTCCAAAATCAACCTCCATTATCATTTATTTATGAATGACTGCATGCATGCAGTTTCTTTTTGACGAACAATTACTTACTCTGGTCAGATCGATAACACGCTATAATTATGGTCATGTAAGCTCTGTGCTCGTTCAGTTTGCTATAGGACAAGCAGTATTCATCAAGCCGGTAACTTTGTTATACCCAACCCGTCACAATTTTAACCCTTCTTTCCCTCCAACATGCATCATAACGGAAGCCAATTGGGGTCTTTTTTAAGTGATTTAAATGATGCTTCAATGATGATTGAATTCGTTTAAGACTAAGTACCGAACGTCCTTACTACATCTACCTTCCAAATATGACTGCATTATGACTGTGTAACAGTACCCAACTTTCCTTGCCATTGCAACATGCAATGCAAATCTACTTCTGAGGCATCTAAAGTTGACAAATACGAACATTTCTTACGATCGATAACGTTTTCTGAGCATTGTGAACACTCTTTACAAATTAACATCCCTCAATTGTATTACAATATTTGCTATAAACTTGATACCCAGATCTCCAGTAACAACTGTGTGAAATTGTGTTTCTCAATAAGCCTGGCGCACAAGATGCCATTTTTTGTCGTACGATTTTAGTCGGTCGACTAAAGCCTTGCGTGTGCGATGTCATTTTTAAGCGATTTTAGTCGGCAGACTGCGATCAGAATATATCAAGACGATATAATATTTGCAAGTATGCGCGGAAATATGGAATTTTTTATCTCCTGATTGGTGGATCAAACACGATCATCTGTTATTATCGCGTTTCACAATGGCTGATTCGGCAATAAAACACGTACTGCATATTATATAATAAAGAATAGTAATATTTTCAGTAAAAAATTTTTAGTAAAAAATTAAAAAACGAGGCGCGTGCGTTTTTGGTGTAATGATGCACGATTTCGAGAGAAGCTTGTAAAACACGAGGTGTAGGTGAGCCTAGTATTGCATTTTAGTATTTTATGTTCAAATTTTTAACTTGTTTTGTGAAATTGTGGATTTTAAATATACTTTTCAACAAATGACGGGAAAGTTTCAAACTACCGTTATTTGCATCATATGGAGACGCAATATGTTTTTCTGCATACATTTTTGCGCTCCAGTTGATCAACTGATCTCAAATTAAATAGCGGCTCCATATCTTCACTATAGCTGTATGATATTTCATAAAAAAGACGCGACTGGGGACGAGTCAGCTGTCTCTCTTGACGCTTCTCTGGAATGAAAAAAAATAAATTCTTTGTGATGAGAATTGTGTTTTTAAATAAATTGTTTATGTATGTATACGGTTTCACACAACAATGTCAAAAAAATTGCTTATTTAAAATGATAAGATTTTACACTTACTCATATCACTGCGTTGTTTCGAATCTTTTCAGGATCTTTACATATAGGACCAATACAAATCCACTAGATCATCGGTCTCTTTTATGCATAGTTTCCTTTTTTTTTCAAAAATTTTTGAAATTTCCCCCTCAGCTTCCTTTGCATCTTCCTTCAATTTTCTCTGTACTTCCTCCATCCTTGCATCGTCGCTACTTGATTCCAAAAGAGTGATACTGTGCAAACTGTCCACTCCAACCAGTAAATACTTATTTGAAGCTTCGACATATACACTTGAGATCAAATGCACCATACAAGCTACGTTTATGGCGTTTTTGGAATCCTGAATGAGCCTCCCGCGCGTATTATCTGACATTTCCTGGCCATCAAGAAGTTCTTTGCATGCTCCTTTAAGATATTTCTCGGTTACATTTTGGAATATTTCCCGAACAATCTCCCAGTGATGCATCACCTTATTTAAGCGAGTGTCAAGATCGAATATTCCTTGATCATCATCGATGTTAGGATATTGCCACATATCCTGATCCTTTGTCTGAATAGGTTCAATCATCATTAATTGTATTCAGTGGTTGGTGAACAAACGCAACTTTGTACCAAGGGATAGAACCGTTTATTATATGTGTATAGAGATTTATGCACAGCAGAATGATGAAATAAAAATCGTATTTCACTGTGCAAATTAATTTCATGCAATTTGATTGGACGTACGATGTTTTTCACGTGTGAAAAAATGCCATACACGGCTTTTGATTGGACGTACGATATTCTTCACACGTGAAAAATTGTCGTATGTCATTTTGGCGGCAATTTGTTTACATTTTCTTTCAAGATGGTGTCGAAATATGGGAGTGAGATTCAAAACATAATTCTCATATTCAAGATATTTTAACATTCAGCACATTCTCAAATCTTTCGGAAAGAATGTCTAACTTCTATTGAACAAAATTACAAAGAAACTGAACGGTAATAAATATGTTTTCATGCATAAAGTTTCGATTTTGTTGCTCGCTGTGTTTTTGTATATATTAAAAGCGTGTCGTTATCAAATTGATCTCTATACACATTTAATAAACAAATTAATTCATGGTTGGCTCGTTTGTACGATTTTTATTATGCACTCGTTGCGAAGGATCGCAAACTCACTCGTTCGCCGCGCTCACTCGTTCGTATTCCGATCCTTCACAACTCGTGCATAAAAATCGTACGCACTCGCCAACCATGAAGTAATCTCTATATATGTTATACGTTTTATAGGCAGAGTTTTTTGTGTGTCCCACTGCATCTGAGGATACCTTCCTAAGTTATCCGAACAGTAAATAGAGCAGTCTCGTGTATTTATCTCCATTCAAAGCTGATAATTAAGATACCTGTCTCCCCTAAAGGAAAGGCTAGAAGGGCGAAAATCTCTAGCCTCCCCTAAAAAATGACATCAATAGATGCAGAAAACGTTCACACGAATACATGTATCAATAATTGTTGCCTTATGTACGATATAACATACCGATCGTCCAGTTTTTTGACCAATTTCATTTTCATCCTTTTGTTCGGACGTTGTAGAACTCGACCCTGCTGTTTCACTGGTTGAAACCTTAAATGGAAATTGTCCGTGTGCATTTTAAATCTGCATTTCGAAACAACAAAAAACGATCCTATACATACCTGTATCATAATGGTTCTTTTCAATGCTACTATGACATTAACTGCTTGACGTGCCACACTAGACAAGTCAGGAAAAATACTCCACTGAAGTAATGGAGAAGCTGCGGCTGCATCTTCGTTTTTTTTTTTCGCCTCATCCCACTTTTCGTCCAGATTTTTTTCACTCTCAGTTATCCGTTCCATCTTTTTACGAGCTTCCTCAATTTTATTTCTTGTTGACTTTTCTTCATCCTCGGTTTGTTCTTTCGTTCCAATGAGTGCTTCGTGAAGCTCGCTTGTCACTTTACCGACTTTTTTAAATTCTTCCGTTATGGATTCAGCTGCTTCCACGCATTCCTGGCAACTCTCTTTAGCGTTCTGAAGACGACGCAGGGCGATTTTCCGTTCCTGACGAGTGCCTTTCTCCATTAATTCCAAGGCTGCTTTCGCTTCCATAACAATGTGTTCACATTTCACGGAAATACGAATCATGCTCCTGTGTACTGCATCAAACGCAAGTCCAACGCCATTGGAAATCTGAACTAGACAAGCGCGGAAGGAATCTGGAAACTTGATATATTCGAAATTTGTACTCGGGCAAAGTTCCTTTAAACTGAAATCCTGTCTTGCCGAAATAAGTAACAAACGGCCCAATCTTGTTATAAAGATGGACGGTGCCTGAGTTAGAGTCTTGCAGATACTTGGTATTGAGGATAGTAAACGTCGATGAAATGAAGCGGAAGTTGAATCCTCAGTCGAACATTCTAATTCATCTATTTCCATCTGTTAGATCGAAAAAAGCATTAGCATATACCGGCTTCAACAGTTTATATAATAAAAGTCTGGCGCATTCTCAGTATATTTGTTCGAAATATTCATGCATATATAACATCAATTCACGCTTATCCACCAAGAAATATTTCATAAACTACAAATATTTATAATCTGAAAAATATGGGTAAATATCGACCCGAATCTCAGGCTTCATGAATTATGCCCAAAACTTGTAAAAAACGTTAGGAAGATCGAGGAAACGAGACCGAATAAAGATATATACTACATAATATAAACTATATAATTATTTTGCAGGACAGAAAGTCGTAGACGTAGTTCATTAGTTTACGGATGAACGATTCTCTTTCTTAACGATACTTACCATAAGAAGCTTTCTTCAGTTTTTTGCTTGTATTTTCCTATTAACGGAAGAATGTGTGCCTCGGAGTCCAGCGTAAAGGGAACGACGCGCATCGAGGACATGAATTTCCAGATGAATAAGTAAAAAAGGAATTTTCTCAAAAAACTAAAAAAATAAATTACAAGAAACGATGTTTCAAACCGGTATCGTTGAAACAAATTTAACAGGCCATTTTTGCTGACTTTTGACAAATTTCAAAAGTTACTGTGTCTTTAAACGCGAATATCTCAGAAACTACTCATATGTAATATATCAAACTTTAAGTTAGACATTGTAATAACAATATGGGTTATTTGATTGCAATTCTTTAGTTTGTTTGTTAGTTATGTTGAATTAAAAATACTTATTTGGGACACCCGGTATTTTTTTTATATAATAAAATCGAAATAAATCCAAAAATTAAACAGGCAAATAGTTTTCCCAACACTTGAAAAATTGTCAAAGTTTTTAAATTTTCCTTATTTCACGCGTACATGTCTACAGGATCTATAGCATTGAAAAAATGCTATTGGCTAGCTTAAGTCACGTGCTAAAATGTGATTGGCTGACAAAATAAACAAGCGATGACTGATCAAATTCAGTGTCATACCGTAGGTCTGTCCTCTTATATATCATGGCTCTCGACCAATGAAATTGCTTCAATTCTTAACGTTATTATATAAATGTAACCGCGCAGACTCAAGAATCTTCAGATAGTTTTCAACCCATCGAATCACAATTAACGCCGTTATACTTTTTAGCGCAGGAATAAAGCAACCGCATTTGATTGAAAACAAATGCAAAGATAGACACGGATAGTATTATTACTATTATATTATACATATGAATTATCATTATGGAAAAGGTTACAACATATACATATACAAGTTCTTAATGCTGCTGAAAATTACCAAACGGTTCCACGCAAATATAAAGATTGTTTATTTAAGATCTAGTTAAATGTCCTTGGAATAAAGTAATGCAAAGCAATCTTTGATTAAACAACATTCATAAAGTCACTGTGCCTCAGTGCATCTTCGATTATTGGATGCATATTTAATTATAGGAAAAATCGAGTGAACATTATAAAATTTCCATGCAAACGTTGTTATAAAAATTATTAAATGTAGCTATTTTATTTGTGAATTCTGTGCGCTCTTTCAAACTTTTTTTAAATTATCACGTGTTATCTGAACTGTGCTTACAAATGATGTTGAGATGTCTAATTTCTCAGATCTTCTTTTCTTTCTTCAGCAAGTTTTGGAATTTCCCTCTCAGCTTCCTTTGCATCTTCCTCCAATTTTCTCCATAATTCCTCCATCCTTGCATGGTCGTCAGTTGATTCCAAAAGACTGATACTGTGCAAACCGTCCACTCCAACCAGTAAATACTTATTTGAGACTTCAACGTAGAATCTTGAGATCCATTTTACGATACAAGCAACCTTCCTGGCGTTTTTGGAATCCGCAATGATCTGCTTGCCCGTAATCTTTGGCATTTCCTGGCCATCACGAAGTTCTTCGTTCATCACTTCACCACACTCTAAGGCATTGCTCACATTTTTTTCAATACGTTCTTTTATTAAGTCATGAAAGGTTTCGAACATAGTATTCAATTCCCTCCAAAATGTTTTAACCCAATAAAATTTCTCCATACTATGTTGCAGAACTTCTTTAATATTATTTATGTCGTTGATCCTTTGGTTAAATTTCTCAAGGTCTTTAGAGGCATTTTCCTTTGACTCTTTAAGCGTTTCTTTAGCTTCATTGCGATTTGTGGTGCACTCGTCATACTTTACTTTCTTTTCTCTCTAAATATAGGTATACATTATGTCTAACTATGCATAGTTTGTAAACAACTATAAAGTATAAAGTTTTACATGTAGTGAACGAAAAGCGGGGCATTTGGAGGTACAAATAGTTTTTAATAAGACTACCCTATGCGGCTATTTAGACTTTATTACATAAAGCTAGTATAGACCGCTATTAGTTAGGATTAAATTTTTTTTTAAAAGATGAGTTTTGTTAAATAGGCTTTACAGAACAGAGTGGTTTCCACTACGCGGGATTTTGTAATTTCGAAAGTTCGACTGCATGCAGCAGATCCCCTTGCATGATAGGCTATAATTAGAAAAAAAACTAAGCGAAAATTTTCATTTGTTCTACTGGAAAACTGCCGTAAGTCATTGCCACTGGTCGACTGTGTGTAATGAAGTACATGTGTTGTTATGGAACACAATGTTTAGTTTATTAGCTAACATTGCTGATATGTAATATACAGTGCATCGTATAATTATTTACTCTCTCATCAATTTGCACTGAAGTATGTTTTTCAGATAACATGCACTGTTTAGGGCCACCGATTTACATTTCGCATACTAAATATTTTCTTAACTAATTTCCCAATACCTTTCTTTCTTCATACTCGCCCTTAAGTGCTTCTGTAAAAGGTCCTCCATGTCTTCCCAGTTCCAAATTGGGCGTTGACATCTAAAATAGATATGTTCAATTTAAACAAGGACGTTAGAATATACAATCAAGCTACATGGGAAAGGCTAAAAAAGTCTTGAAACAAAAACCCACTCTATACTTACCTGCATCTGTGGTCCCACGGCTTCCTTCAATGACTCTATTGTTAAATTTATTGGGAGATGTGACACACTATCAATGAATTCACAAAGCATAATTTTCCAAGGCGATAGAGAAGCTACGGCTGCGTATTCTTTTTTCGCCTCATTCCACTTTTCGTCCAGATTTTTTTCACTCTCAGTTATCCGTTCCATCTTTTTACGAGCTTCTTCAATTTTATTTCTTGTTGACTTTTCTTCAAACTTGGTTTCTCCTTCCGTTCCAATGAGGGCTTCTTGAAGCTCGTTTGTCACTTTACCGACTTTTTCAAATTCTTCCGCTATGGATGCGGCTGCTTCCACGCATTCCTGGCAACTCTCTTTAGCGTTCTGAAGACGATGCAGGGCGATTCTCCATTCCGGATCAGTGCCTTTCTCCATTAATTCCAATGCTGCTTTCGCGTAAGTCGCAATGTGTTCAGATTTCACTGAAATACGATTCATGCTCCTGTGTGCTGCATAAAACGCATCGCAGACGCCATTGGAAATCTGAACTAGACATGCGCGGAAGGAATCTGGAAACTTGATATATTGGAACTTTGCATTTGGGCAACATTCCTTTAAACTGAAATCCTGTCTTGCCGAAATAAGTAACAAATGGCCCAATGATGTTGTAACGGTGGATGGCGCCTGAGTTAGAGTCTTGCAGGTACTTGTTATAGAAGATAACATCTTTTCATCAATCGTTTCATCAATAGTTTTTTCAATCGAATCTTTTTTATCAGCCTTTGCCATCTGTTGGATCGAAAAAAAGGATTAGCACATTCTGGCGCATTCTCAGTATATTTGTTCGAAATATTCATGCATGATATTTATGGTATGTATTTTTATTTTTTTTTCAGTAGATTTTAATTTTTTATTTATTATATATATTATGCATATACCACCACACTATACCCAATATTCATGGTCAAGTTTGACACTGCAGAGCCTGATTTACTATAAATATCTTAAAATAACAAATGGCCCAACAATGTAGTGATGAATGGTGTAAGATACAGAATAGTAAAATCTCTACGATTTTTTGGGTGGTAAATCGCCAAAAAAATAAAAATTAGACTGCTTTCCTGTACGTGCATGCAAGCATGGGAGGAATGCGGCTAATTTTTTAAGGTTCTGTTTCACGGTGCAATTTTTCAACTTGTCTCACAATACTATCTGCGGAAAATAGCTTCGTTTTATTTGTAACTAATTTATTCACCTATAAGTCCTTCAAAAGCAGTATAGAAAAGAATTCAGATTTTAACGCGTGTTTACGCGTCTTTCACAATGGGAACCTTAACGACATTCGTGACCCAGGGTCAAGGAACAGATTGTGTACTTTAATACGTCAACAGTCACAGCAACTATACGCACCGTTAGTTGCTCTAAACCTATCAACAAACGCTGCCCAACATCACATCTGATAAACGGTCGTTTGGAATGACTATACATGTGGTAGCGACATTTAGTTACAGACACCATTTAGCTTTTGTAATACACCAGGCTTGATATATTTACTTCCCATAAACCTTACAAAACGTTTCACATTCTTTTATTTTCGGTATTTTTTTTCTGTCTTTAACAAACGGTTCATTGGATAGAGAAAATTCCTAACTAGCCAAAAGCATGCATATATGCACTAAATAAAGTTAATATTCAAATTGTATAGTCATAGGTAAATCTTAAAAGCTGCATGGATGTTTTGACAAAATATGTCCATATCGCGTGGATATCAATCTGCGACTTCTCTTTTGTTCTCAATCTGTTTTTCTCTTTCGAATTTTCGCTTGTTTTTAATAGGTGACCCATATTACGTCGACACTGAACTTTGTTCGACTTGTCCAAAAACTACTCGTGGCTGTGGTAAGCGTTCCACAATAACTCCCTTCTTTTGAAATCCTTTGTCAGTCAAAACACGCACAACATCCCCTCTCTTCAACACGTCCAGTGGCCTCGCACTTCTATCATAAAACGTCTTCTGCTCCACCCTTTTTCTGTTCTAAAGCTCCTGAACTTGAACTGGATTCATCGGTTGGAACTCCAACAGGCGTTGTCAGACACCTGTACGCCTTTTTAACTCCAACAGGCAGTAGAGTTTTCTTTCTTCTTCCCGTAAATCTTTGCACCGGCCTACCAATTGTTACATCTTTTGGTGTGTTTCTGAAATTGAATAGTCCCAACTAAGGATCCGTATCGTCTTCCTTAGCCTTCTTCATAATTAATTTGGCGGTTTGAACAGCTCATTCTGCCATTCCCTTACTCTTTGGGTAACCAGGCAAGCTAAAACACTGGATTAAAATTTAACCCAGAATTAGCGCTAACCTAGCTTTGAACAACTGGCCCCTGGCTTCCAAACTGATCGAGGACCATTATCTGTGATGAACTCTTCAAAGATACCATGTCTCGCTATCTGAAATTTCATTTTTCAAATAACTGACTTGGAGGTGGTACTCTTTAAGGTGGTGGTTCTATAGTCAAGTTCGAAATCCACCATAAGAAGATACCTCCTTACCTTGCGCAGAGTGTTTTTTTCCCAGCCTAGCTTGGTTGATTTTGTTCCAGCCTAGCTTGGTTGATTGTTGGCACTTCAACTGTAGTAACAGTGCCAGTAAATAACTCTTTCTCTAGGATATCAAGAGAATTGTCATTCTTTTCTGTTTCCTTTTACAAATGAGACATGCTCTGTCAAAGTGATTTTATTGCAATTATGACAGATTTTCCCAAACGCAGGACACTGTCTATAGGACTCTAGATCATCTCTATCTTAGTCTTCGTTGAAGCTTAACAAATCGTATCTTTCAACTGCATCTTATCCAGCTAGATTTAAAAGAATACACGATTTTTCTTTTTTTGATACAGAGGCCTAATAAACAGCGGTTTCCCGAATTTGTTGAGCTTCAGAAATCCTGGTTTGCCGTTTCCATTTACGGCTTTCATGGTACAGCAAATCAAATAACGTTCCCCTTCCCCTTGTTATTTATGCTTATACGTTAAATTTTATAAGAAAAACTGGTCATTCACAGTTTCCCCTCGCATGATCATGCATGCATGTTTGCGCGCGAAAGTGGAGGTTGTTAGAAATCTAGCTATACTATAGCTATCACTAACCTTTTTAGTGACCACAATGCTGATGAGCACAATCTTTCTTCATTACGGATCAATCTTTTAAACGTTCACTTTTCCTTTGATAGTTTACCGCTGTGTCTGTAGTGTTGGGTGACATGATGATTGACGTGTTTCCAATCAGGACTACGAAGCGCCCGGCCCGTTTGTCTATATATATCGCCTTGCTTCCATGGGTACAGGCCATGGGGAAAGGGAAAATATTTTTCTATCCTGACCTCGCAGTCGGTAAATAACATATATGTCTCACAATCTCGTTCCCCGAGGCCGCGATTCCTCTGGCGAGGAAACAAACAAAGGCTCGGATCAGAAATCCTGGCTTCCGATTTGTGGCGGTTTTTATTGAATTTCAAAATTGAAACGGCGTGAACGACCGTGAAAACGAGACTGATATATCTCATTGATGAATGATGGCACAATTACTTTGTCACCCTCGGTGAGTGTGAGTTTGAGTAAGTCCTCAGTTTCTGTTCTTCAAACGGATTACTAGCTTTCGGAATACATTTGTTTTTTTCCTCTGAGGGGATTTATCAACGCTTTTCTCATATTGGTCAATACAGCCTTCCTTATAGAATTTCGTATTCTATAAATTACTGAATAATTAGTTTAGGATTAATTTCAATTTCATAATATGCATTCTGACTAATTTCAGAGCACATTCTTCATTTACTCCGTTTTGAGTAAATTTTTAGCTTTACTCGAGATGTAGTTGAGCAAACCCAATATTTCCACTTACTAATATTACCCAATATTTCCATTTACTAATATTACCCAATATTTCCATTTACTAATATTACCCAATATTTCCATTTACTGAATAATTAAACTGTAAATTGATCTACATAGAACAGAAGTAAAACCGTCTCAGTTTTTCAAGTAGTTCTGACGTCGTAACGATTACTTAAAACACGGGAAAAGTAGTTTAGGTTTCCTCCTGTAGTAACACTGGATCAATAAGAGATGATCCTTACTGGACCTCTAGGAAGAACAGTTTAGAACTGATAGAGTTATCCAGTCTAAATAAAGTTAGTTTAGTTTAGGTTTCCTCCCGTAGTAACACTGGATCAATAAGAGATGATCCTTACTGGAACTCTAGGAAGAACAGTTTAGAACTGATAGAGCTATCCAGTATAAATAAAGTTGGTAGGTCTCCGCATGCAGCCTGCACTAATTGTGCATTACCTAAACTTTGTCCCTGAAAAATCTCAACACAAACTTTACAGTTGAAAATATAAAACAAGGAAAATAAATAGTCTAAAGTTATAGTTGGTTTAACGTTTTGGTCTTCAATACGCATCATAACTCGTGCAGGAATTATGCTAAATTAATTAATGGACAGAAATTACTTAAATAAAGCATTGGTTACCAACCTTCCTGCCGTGGCTAATTAAAAGTTGCTTGCTCGTTGTTAAACAATTTTTCTTTTATTACTTCCACTTTTATTTCGCAAGTTTCAGGACAGCAGTTGCGCCTGTTAATATTAGAAATTTCTGTGTGTTATATTAAGTCATATGTTGTATGTTAGGCGGTTAGCCTATTATTACTTCCCACGGGTAATATTTGTCTATATTTGGCGATGGAATTTATGTATATACAAAAACAGGTTTAAACCTGTGAAACTAACTAACAACATCCACATTACAGTCTAAAAAAGGAAACGAGATGAAACGAAACTCTCCAAATTCAGTACATTTTTCTCTATACTTCACTGATTTCTATTTTGACGCACTTTTTTGCCGCACCTGGATGTGTTAAATTAACCGGTTTAAACTGGTTTAAAGATTCATTGAAGGTAGCTTAATAGTGGGGTATCAAAATATACAGAAAAGCCAACAGAAACGCGCACCTGGAAACTAAGCTGTTATGTAATGAAGTTATACGCCAAGCAATCGCTATTATCTATAACAACAACCAGACGTGGACAAACACCGCAGATGCTTTCGATGTAACGATGGGCAGTTTTGATGGGGCCGAAATCTGCGAACGCGTTGGTTTATTTATCCTGAGTAAACTGAAAGGGCAACTGAAGAACGTCGGACTGTACCGTGATGACGGCCTCGCCGCTATACGTACTACGTCAGGCAGATTAGCTGACAAAGCTAGAAAACAGTTGAGCGAAACTTTTAAGAATCTCGGGCTGAAAATCACCGCCACGGCTAACTTGAAGCGGGAAATTTCCTTGACGTCACACCTGACTTGACTGACGGAACATACTAACCCTACAGAAAACCACGACCCACTATGCATCGACCGCCTTTCCAATCACCCACCTGCCATCAACGACAACTTCCATCATCCATCAACAAACGAATCAACAAACTATCATGCGACAAAACAACTTATGACGCTGCATCTCAACTGTACAACAACGCACTGAGACAAAGCAACTACGACGCAACACTCACGTACGAGCAACCAACTAACAATGACAACATCAAGAATCGCAACGCAACCCAAAGACGGAAACGGCAACGCAATACAACTGGTACAAGCCCCCTTACTCGAAGAGCGTAAAAACGAACACCGGACAACAATTCCTACAACTGTTAAACAAACACTTCCCACCTTCCAACAAACTCCACGTGAATCTTCAACCGACATAACGTACGAATTAGCTACGGCTGCCTTGGCAACATGCTCTCATTCATAAACAAGCACAACAAGAAAATACTAAGTAAACACACAAAACAGACAAACGCAAACACAGACGACGCAAACAACTCACGACAATGCAACTGCAGACGATCGGAAAAATGCCCAGCTCAAGGTAAATGCCTCACATCAAACGTAGTGTATCAACCCGAAGTGTCCCGGGGCAACAACGATCCACCAGCCAGGTACATCGGAGTCACTGCGAACGATTTCAAAACGTGCTACCAAAACCACGCAAAATCGAAACCTGTATACGTTTTGCATAGTTTACTACAAATGCATGTTGTGAGCACAATTCAGTTGACATGGTATGTTTACTTCTTAATTCTACTATTTAAAGACTCGGCACTTACAGAGCAGTGATAATGACCGCGTGATAATTCATCCGTTATTTTTAACAACGGCTAGCATTGCCAATGAGTTTAATTAAATTGTTTACTGTACGAATGCTAAAAAAATATGTCTATATCATAAACGTTCTGTCTTTGTTCAGTAATTTCAATAATAAAAAGGAATACAGCATTCTAGGCTCAAGTTTGCTAGGACACCTGTTCTCCTGTAGTGTAATTCAACGCATTTACATTACCATACTAACAATGATAATTCCCACTTACCAAACTCTCAGCTTGAAATATTCTTACATCGAAAGATTACTTAAAGTCAAAGCAATCCAAATTAAAAACAAATCAAGTCCTTGGCGAGAACGCAACGTTGCCACCAGTTGTAAGTTAGAGCAAGATCTGTCACGGTAACTAGTGACTCGCTGACAATATAAACAGCTGGGTAATGGGACTTGTAATAATTTATTAGCCAGCTGACAAATCATAGCAACCAATATGCATCACGTGGATATAGTGGCTTTATAAATACCCAATGAACACCTTCCTTTGTTTGTTAAACGGTTTGTAAAAAGAATTAATAATTCATTGAAGAAAATTGGAAAGACGAGAGTGTTGTTGATCAATATTTGTAAATCATTCAGTCTTGTAAATCAATCTTTGATTTCAGACAACTCAGATTTTGAGTGGTAGCTAGCTACCCCCTCACCCTAGGTCTCGTTTCGTGTGCGCGGATAGTTTAAATACCCGCTTTGTGGTCCCGTCTGCGTCGAATACCTGACCAAAAGCTACGGATAGGTCGTAAATGTATATAGGTATATATAGGTATAGGTCTTAAGTATTCATGTTAATATACCAGAATATATTCCTATAATTCTCAATCAAAGAATCTGCGGAATTTACTGCGCATCGTGTAGCGTGCTTGAAGAAGTTTAAGACCTGTAAACCTCAAAAAAGAGTTTCCATGGTAGCGTTTGTTTATAGCTAGCTGTTTGTGCGACTGAATATTAAAACCTTTTCTTAATATTAGAAATTTTCTTTTTGTAATTGTGCTGCATGCTATGATGATAAAAAATCTTAAATTTGAGCACATTTTGACCTTTATAATTGCGCAATTAATTTTCCTAAGTAAGTTAAACTCGCTAACGGTGCATGCTTGCGGTCCCCCAGTCTGTCAACAGGCCTGGGTGTCATGGAAACGAGACACGCTGACAAAATAAACAGCTGAGTGATGAACTTATATATAGAAGCTTCAAACATATGTAATAATTTATTAGCTAGTTGACAAATCATAGCAACCAAAATGCATCACGTGGACTTAGTGGCTTTTTAGAGGCTTTATATACACTCGATAAACACTTTCCCTTGTTTGTTAAACAGTACGTAAAGAGAATTGATAATTCATTGAAGAAAATTGGAAAGAAGAGAGTGTTGATTAATATTTGTAAATCATTCAGTCTTGTAAATCAATCTTTCATTTCAGACAACTCAGGTTTTGAGTGGTAGCTAGCTACCCCCTCCCCCTAGGTCCCGTTTTGTGTGCGCGGATAGTTTAAATACACGCTTTGTGGTCGCGTCTGCGTCGCGAACCTGACCAAGTTCGCTTTGTGGTCGTCTTATTCATATTATGGCTTAAGTTGTGGGCCGCCTAAAGATTCCTACACGGATAAAACTTTTAAAATTTTTAGTAAGCAGTATACTTTATTTATGATTTTGTTTATACGACCTGAAGATTCCTATATATACGGATAAAACGAACTGTAGTGGATGATTTTCGGACTTATCGAGCTTATATTTTAATTTTTTGCGATGATCATGCGCGCACGAGTCGATGCAAGCATACGTTATGCCTTTGGATTTAAAAAAATTCACCTCTGTTTCGTTTCCGCTTCCGGCTCCGAGTACTGTTTCTAAATTATACGTCCCCCTGTGGTCCTAATTTTCATATCCATATGGCTGAATTTAAAACGAAAATGTCGAAAACAGTATATATTATAAGGGCCCTTACACTGGTGAATTTGTCAATTATTTGGTGTAGGTGCAGATGACTATACCCAAGTAGACTGTGATTTATTTGGGTGCGTCATTTAAACAGGCATGCGGGTATTCATATCTGCGAGACCTGCAATCCCATGCAATATAATATGTGCCACCATGAGTTTTCAATGTTGATCCCTCTACCCCCTATCTCAATGTTGGCCCCTATTCCCCCTAACTCAATGTTGACCCCCCTTCTCCCTATCTTAATGTTGATACCCGTTCCCCCAATCTCAATGTTGACCCCCCTTCCCCCTATCTCAATGTTGACCCCCCTATCTCAATGTTGACCCCCCTTCCCCCTATCTCAATGTTGACCCCCCCTTTCCCCTATCTCAATGTTGGCCCCTCTTCCCCCTATCTCAATGTTGACCCCCTTTTCCCTATCTTAATCTTGACACCCGTTCCCCCTATCTCATTGTTGACACCCGTTTCCCCTATCTCAATGTTGTATTTCAACAGTTAAAAGACTAACACCTCGAATAGTGAAAACAATCGCTACCCAACATTGAAACAGGGTGCGGGAGCATGTAGTGTCTCATTAACTTTGTGGCTGTTGCATGACTCTTTGGTTTGATTCCAGAAAAAGGGATACTAGGAATTAGGAAATGTTGAATAACCCCTGCTGTGTACGAGCTAATGCCATTATAATTTGGTGTATACATAATATTAAAGTGTGTTTCTTCATCCATTTCATCTCTGGTTACAAAACATGCCTTGGAATGAAATTCAAATTAATAGGTTAGCTGCAGAGAAGATCGTGCTGCATGGATTATTACTTTCCTGGTTGTGTGAAATGGTCTCGGTTTTTTGTTCTTAGAAAAACCTGTCCAATTTAAGTATTTGGGTATTGCGGTATATGCAAAGTGAAAGTGATACTGCATAAATTCTAATATTTTGAGCGTTGAAAAATCGTCGCGAAGATGAGAATGTCAGTGGAGATAAATAACTTACAATAACTGTAACAATCCATGTTTACAACACAAGGATATCACTTCTGTGTATATATAGATACGTTTTTGTATTTTTTTTATGCTACCTCAAAAGTGCGAAGTTTATTTTAAGATGAAACAATCAATAAAAAGCTCTGCTGTATCTAGAATATAATTATATTTGTTAGGGACCTTAGGTCCATTCAGAATCATCTATATAACTTGCATGTGTGCTTACGTCAGGTTTATATTTTATGTCGGTCGTTGAACCATTGACATGTCGCGATGCGATGTGGGGAACTTGGAGGACAAAATGCACTTTATTTTACACGCTTGAAAACTTTAACGTAGGCACTTCTGTAAATGGCTTATCAACGGCTTTGTCCTCGTTGAACAATCTAGACTATTTCCGTGTAATGAATACTGAAATGGGACTTTCATTTTGGAAAATCAAGATGAAATGTGTAAAATACTTCCAAATTCAGGCCTGAAGATACTGTATCAGTAGATGATATGCAACCCAAACTAAACCAAACTTTGTAACCCAAACTGTGAATTCGACATTCAGTGTCGTTGCATAATAGGCATACATAATCTGTCGCGCAATATATCTGCATGACAACGAGAACTGAAAAGCTATAATGCTATAGCTACAATTCCCTTTTAACGATATACACCCAGACACTGTATTTATTTACTACTATATATATTAGCCAAATTGCCAGGAGCCGGTTGTATCACTTGTATGAAAGCTTGATAGCGCTATCCACCGAATAGTGGATTTTTAATCGCTTTAAAATCCTCGTTGTTTGGTATACCTTTGATTAGCATTCCTAAATCCAGAATCCTTTAATAATTGTTTGTTCCATGCAAAGATGAAATTTTATTGCTCTTCAAATCTTCATTTCCACGCATTTAGATAAAAAATATGCATTAGCATGTACTTCAACAATAACTGTTAATTGAATACGCAATAATGTGTATACGTGCCTCGCAAAGAGCACGACTCTGAAATGTTATGAATAGGTGATCTTTTAGGTATGTTTATAGCTAATTTGTTTCGTGAATGTAGCTATATATAAACGTGATCGACCTTTTTGACATTGAGATTTAATGAACCTAACCACTTTATTCGACGGCAAAATCCATTACCTTGGTTGCCAGACATTAATGTGAATCTGTCTATATATATATAGTAACATGGCATGACGGCGCAGATCCGAATCTCCAGATGTGCATGTCTGGTCTTAATTAACATACTCTTTAGGGGAGGAATATCTATAGTTAAGAGAACCGCAGTGCATTGAAAAGAAATGCAAATATAGACAAGGATAAGATAATATATGAATTATTATGAAAAAGATTACATATTGCATATTACATATATACATGAAAGTTCTTAATGCTGCTAAAAATTACTAAACGGTTACTGCATGATGAAGACTGTTGATTTCAAACGTAGTTAAATGTCGGTGGAATAAAGTGATGTAAAACGATATTTGATTATAAACTACGTGACACTGTGCCTCACACCAATATCAGAGCATCTTCGATTATATTATTGTACGGGTGTTCTAATTAGTAAAAATCGAGTATATTATACAATTACTTAAATTATGTAATTATACAATTACAATTACTTTTCTTAACTCGAGCAACATTCCCTAGTGTTTTGATCAGGCCATCCGAACACGGAAACCATTAAGTAGTTGTTTTATAAAATAACAACGGCAAGGCCTGAATCTAAATTTAAATTTTTAAAAATTTTAAATTTCCGTGTTTGCATGGCCTGATCCAAACACGGGCTTCGACCAATCAGAACACACGTTATATATGCATGTTATTTATAAATCAATTTCCATGCGTCCAAGCGCACCAATGAAATTAGTAAATATATATAATATTTTAGTTGCAGTAATAGGTAGAATTTTTGTGCACTGTTTCAAACCTTTTTAAAATCTTCAGATGTTATCTCAACTTTGCTTACAACTGATTATGACTGAAAACTCATTTCTCAAATCTTTTTCTCTTTCTTCAGCAATTTTTGGAATTCCCTTCTCAGCTTTCTTTGCATCTTCCTCCAATTTTCTGCATACTTCACCCATCCTTGCATGGCCGCTACTTGATCTCAAACCAGCGAAACTTTGCAAACCATTCACTCCAACCAGTAAATACTTATCTGAAACCTCAACGTAGAATCCTGAGATCCATTTTACCATACAAGCAATTTTCATGGCGTATTTGGAATCTTCAATGATCGTCTTGCGCGTATTATATGAGATTTTCTGGCAACCATTAAGCTCTTCGTTTGTTGCTTCAGCTAATTTGCCGAACCCTAAGGCCTTGTTCGCATTTTCTCGAAGACGATCTTTCATTAAATCATGAAACGTTTGAAACATAATCTTCAATTGCCTCCAAATTTTTTAACCTTAGAAACTCGCGTACCCTCTTCCAGAGCGTCTTTGATCTTTGACTCAAGGCTTTGGTTCTCTTTTTTTTCTTTCTTTTCACTCTAAATAAGTATGCGCTATGTCTAAATATGCATTTAATTTATGCATATTTTTTTTGTACCTACAAGTTATTATAATTACTAAAGTCGCCATGCAATCATACAAGAAAATTATTAAATATGCATTGTTTTAAACAACTGAAGTTTGATGTTTTATGTTATAATTGAGGTTAAAAACAAATAGTTATTAATCAGACTGCAAAGCAGGAATAGAGCTCAAGAACACTTTTCTGCAGCCATTTAGACTTTTACTGCATATAAAAGTCAATATTGATCGCTATCAGTTGGGATAAAAAATATCGATGCATCGTTATATTAAATTGGCTTTACAAAACCAACGATTTCCATGCACTAGGCGGGACTCGCCTAATTTTTCAAATTGCGAGAATTCGACTGTAACAGATTCCCTTCACAGGTCAAAATTAATTGAAAAGAAAATCAAGGGTTGTTCGTTTTAGTGGAAAACCGCCATATTGAAGGCACTCGTCGAGAGCTGTGTGTAATGAAGTACACATGTTGTCTATGAAAAACAACTTGTCCTAAAATAAGTAGAACCTAACTTATTTGTATATTCATTCAAAGGTTCGATAAGAAATAAAGGTTGCATCGAGTGTCACACACAACCTACGAAACTGCCGTGACGGGTATAACGCGGTTGGAGAATCCCGCCCCGGTCCCGAAATGCCACGTCCTTTAGAACCTTGAGTCCTTCCACTGGATTTAAATTTCGAGAAATAAGTTAAGATGATATTTAGTACGCAGTACCCCATACCTCATTTTTTCCCGTAAAAGGTCCCCCACTCGTTCTCAGTTCCACTTTGGGCGTTGAGGCCTAAAATAGAGGTTCAAACAACAACGTTATATGGAGTATAGCTCGTGTGCATTTTCATGGCTACATGCGAAGAGTTTAAACTGTGTTAAAACAAAAAAACAACCCTGTACATACCTGTGTCTGTGGTATCATTGTTTGTCTAAATAATTCTACTGCGAAATTGATAGCGAAGTGTGTGATACGATCAATGAGTTTGTGTGTGATACGATCAACAGTTTCCCAAGGTGAAGGAGAAGCTTCGGCTGCATCTTGGTATTCTTTTTTTGCTTCATCAGACTTTTCGAGGACTTCATTTAGTTCGTCTATCGTTTTGCCGATTTCTTCAAGTTGTTCCGTTATAGGAGCGGCGATCTCTACACATTCCAGGCAATTCTTTTTAGCGTTTTTAAGATAATGCAGGGCGAGTACCCATTCCTGATGAGTGCCACTCTCCATAAATTCCAATGCCCTTTTCACGTCCGTAGCAAAGATTTCAGATTTCACGGAAATACGCTTCATGCTCCTGTGTGCTGCATCAAACGCATCGCAGACGCCATTGGAAACCTGAACTAGACATGCGCGGAAGGAATCTGGATACTTGATATATTTGAAATTTGTACTTTCACAATGTTCCTTTAAACTGAAATCCTGTTTTGCCGATGTAAGTAACAAACGGCCCAATGTTGCTATAACGGTGGATGACGCCAGACCTAGAGGCTTGCAGGCACTTGATATAAAAGATACCATTTCTTCATCATCCATAACGGGAGTTGTTTCTTGAATCGAGTCGTCTAACTGAGCCATTTTATCTGTTAGATCGAAGAAATGCATTAGGATATATATACGTCAACAAATTGCTGGTTTCCAAGTAGGATCTGATTAAAACTACAAATTTGTCAGTATAATCTGAAAAATATGGATTAATATGCACTAACTATACATACACAAATTTTTAACATTTCTTAACATTTATGTAAGTATATAACACTGACAACAAGTTGTGATTTAACAGGCTGTCGTTAGAAATATTACTGTTAAAAAATGCCTATTGATTACTATCTCTATAGTGACAATGAGTCCTATATTTTAAGTTCTTTGAAACTAATACTTTTCGTAAGATATTCTGATTTCGGAATTCATCTGCCCTAAGATGAATTATAATAATGGACAGTATTTTATATATTAAAGATCTCATTTAGTTTGAGCGACGCCATAATTATTGTGCTGAGCTTTTATGCACGGGCCTGGCTGCCACGGAAAAAATATCTTGCAATATATGCATATACCACAACACTACACAATATTCAAGGTGAAGTTTGATTATACAGAATTTGATTAACTACATATTTTATTTTATGACTATTATGAGGTTCAGTTCGGGATATTTGCCATCAAAACCTTTTGCGTGGTAAATGAACTTAACAGTACTTAGATTTCTGAAAACAGGAGGAACGATACTCTATTTCTTAGGTTATAATAAAAAGCGTTCCTGCTTGTGATTTGTATATATAGTTTAGGCAAGAATAATGTATCCCTTGAAGTCCAGCACAAATTGGGAATTGAAGAAGAATTGGGAATTGGAAATTTTTCGATCTGAAATGTTATGATGAAGTGGTCTTTTAGATACTTAAGCTAATTTGTTTCGTAAATGTATGTAAACGTGAATGTATATGTAAATCCTAACTGTCTTATCTGGCGGCAAAATCCCATTACCTTTGTTATCATGCAGAGGTTAATGTGACTCTGTCTTAAAACTAACACAGTGCATTGATAACAAATTCAAGTATAGACAAGAGTAGAATGGTATATGAATTATTATTATGAAAAACGTCACAACATATGGCTACATATACAAGTTCTTAATGGTGCGAAAAAATACCAAACGTTTCCATGCATTTATGTAAAGATTGCTGATTTCAAATGTGGAAATGTCGCTGGAATAAAGTAATACAAAACAATCTTTGATTAAACTACATTACGATGACATTGTGCCTAATTCGAGTTTTATATATACGTGTTATAATTACGTGTAATTATTAAATACGTATAATATATTTTAGTTGCAGTAATAGGTTGACTTTTTGTGCACTGATTCACCTTTTTAAACTGAATCGTCACATATGTGATCTGAACTATGCTTAGCTACAAACGATGATGAGATAACTCATTTCTCAATTCTTTTTCTCTTTCTTCAGCAATTATTGGAATTCTCCTCTCGGCTTCCTTTGCATCTTCCTTCAATTTTCTCCCTAACTCCTCCATCCTTGCATGGTCGCTACTTGATTTCAAACGAGTGATACTCTGCAAACCGTATATTTCAACCAGTAAATACTTTTTTGAAACCTCAACGAAGAATCCTGAGATCCATTTTACCACACAAGCAACTTTCATGGCTTGTTTGGAATCTTCAATGATCGGCTTGCGCGTATTATATGACATTTTCTGGCAATCATTAAGCTCTTCGTTCGTTGCTTTAACTTTTTCTCCGTCGCGTATGACCTTGCTCATATTTTGTTCAAGATGAACGTTAATTAAGTCATGAAACGTTTGAAACATAATCTTCAATTGGCTCCAAAATTCTTTAACCTTAGAAAACTCCGTGATACTCGTTTCCAGAGCGTCTTTATTTTTATTCAAGTTGCTGATCTTTTGATTAGATTTCTCAAGGTCTTTAGAGGCGATTTCCTTTAACTCTTGAAGCGTTTGTTTAGCTTTTTTTAATTCTTCATACTCTTCTTTCTTTTTTTTCTAAATAAGTATACGCAATGTTTAAATATGCATAGTTTGTAAACAACTAAAGTTTTAAGTTTTATGTTTTAACTGAAGTGAGTGTAAAGCATGTGTAGCCGGGTATAACTAATTTTCAATAGGACTGCAAAGGAGAACTTTAGTGAATATAGATTATAGTTGCATGGGGTAAAAAAGTTTTAAACGGATGAATCATATTAAGTGGGCTTTACTGAAAACAAACGATTTTCATGCATGCACTTGGCGGGATTTTGCAATCAAACGTATAATCTGCCGTACGTCCCAGTGTTGCAAGGGCCGGGCTCCCAAAATGCTACCAGAATGAAATTAAACTATTGTTGGAAGTATATAATCCTCTTTCAGAAAAATGTTTTGGCTATTTATTGCAAAAGTCTCACCCCCAAAACGGAGGGAATTGCATTTGCTGCACTCTGAAATTCAAAATTGTCTTGGGGGAGGATGCCCCCTAACTGCATGTGTATATCTCCCATAATTTACCTTTCTCTCCCCTCTCAAGATTCAGGTAATGTATTATCGCATTACTGTGGTACAAATTTCCGATAAGGTAACATCGAGTGTCACACCACTCACAAATAATAAAGGTTGGTGAATTCCCCCCTTCTCGAAATGCCACATCCTTTATAGAACCGTGAATTCTTCCACTGGATTTACATTTCGAGAGATAAGTTAAGAAGATACTTCGCTAGTATGCAGTACCTATACCTCTTTTTCTTCAGGCTTATCCTTAAACGCTTTTGTAAAAGGCCCTCCACCAGTTCCCAATCCCAAAGTGGACGTTAAAACCTAATAGAAATGTTTAATTTAAACAACGACGTTAGAGTATAGCGCGCATGTGTTTTTAAACAACATGTACGTGAAGAGTTTAAAAGCGTTTAAAAACAAAAAATGAAGCTATACATACCTCGGGCGGTAGCATCGTTGTTTGCTTCACTGATTCTAATGTGGTATTGATAGCGAGGTGTGTGAAACTATCAAGTAATGTAACTAAAGTATCTATCCAAGGTGATGGACAAGCTGCGGCTGCATCTTCGTATTCTTTTTTTGCTCCATCACACATTTCGACTTGTTCCTTTTCACTCTCCATCATCTGTTCTGTCTTTTTATTAGTTTCATCAATTTCTTTTCTTGTTGACTCTACTTCTTGGTAGATTTTCCCCTCCGATCCAGCAAGGATTTCGTCAAGCTCCCTTACCGTTTTGTCGACTTTTTCAAATTCTTCCGTTATGGGGGCGGCTATCTTCACACAATCCTGGCAAATCGTTTGAGCATTGCGAAGATAATGCAGGGCGAGTTTCCATTCATGACGAGTGCCACTCTCTGTAAATTCCAATGCTCTTTTCACGTCCGTAACAATGTGTTCAGATTTCACGGAAATAAGATTCATGCTCCTGTGTGCTGCTTCAAACGCCTCGCAGACGTCATTGGAAATCTGAACTATGCACGCACGGAACGAATCTGGATGCCTGATATATTTGAGCTTTGCATTTGGGCAATGTTCCTTTAAACTGAAATCATCTTTTGCCGAAGTATGTAACAGATGGCCTAAAGTTGCTGTAACGATGGATGGCGCCCGAGTTAGAACCTGGCAGGCACTTGATATAGAAGATAACTTCAAATCCTCTGAGTAAGGCATTTCAATCTGTTGGATAGAAAAAATGCATTAGCATATACGGGATGAGTAAAAAAAAACTGACACCTTTGAAATTCAAATTAGCCGCATAGCGGCTGTAATGGGACAGAAGTTGCCTAAAATATCTCATGGGTATACGAAGCATATCAAATTAATTAACCCAAAACATAAAGTTTGTTCCCATTGGGAGTTAAAATGCATTCTAAGCTCTGTAAATACAAAAGAACAGTTTTATCAAATCGTTTTTGTTGATTGTACATGGGAATTGTCATATTCCAGCCATAAGTTCGCAGCCAATTTGAGTTTCAAAGGTGTCAGTTTTTTTTACTCACTCTGTACAGGGTGCCCCCAAAATGTCCAATGCTAACCATAAGAGGATATTGTTTCAAATATATATGCGTGAACTTCGACTGGGGCACATTGGTGGAAAAAGTAGCTAAAATTTTGTAAATGTAAAATGTTTTGTAAATGTTAAGCAAAACGTTTGTATTTAAAATTCTAACTTGGACAAATGAGAATTTTGGTTTTTTGGATTGCTGCAACAGCCACACAACATTTTGATCTGATATTTTGAAGCATAAGCGATTCGATGTTAGACTATTAGGTAATAAAAATTTACAAATTGCACTTTGGTCTAAATAGTTATCACTATCAGTCAAAGCTTCGCAAGGGACATTTTCTGCACGCCATCTTGTGTAAGTAAAATTAATCTCTACTCAATGTTTAATCTCAAAAAGTGCATGAGCATATAATATGTATTTATTATGCATTACTAATGCAATCTCGATTGTGATTGGCTAAAAACCTACAGATAATTCTCAATGTCTTGCCACCTACACGACATTGAAAATTATCCGTAGGTGACGTAATTTTTTGCCGCTAGTTATTTGGTCAATAATGACGCAGGCTTCCTCTCTTTGCTTCGGCGAATAATGCAAACTTCCGCTTGATAATTCTCGATATCACACTCAATCTCATCCAATAATTGTCAATAATATACATCAACGTTAACTCGTATATTTTAAATAAAAATTATGCCGCTTTCCTATTAAGCACTTATTCCACGCACGTGAGAAGTTCTTCTAATTTCTTTTCTTTAAAGCCCTGTTATACACGCGGTGCAATTTTTCATACATCTGTCTCACAATACTAATTAATATTTGCGGAAGATAAACAACATAACTAACTAAATAACAGAGATAAAAACATCCCTTGACTTCAGTGCTAATCTCTCAATTAAGTAATTTTGAATTGTATGCATGTAAAACACTCCTTATTATTTAAACTTTTTAATGTAGTCCTTCATTAAAAATTATTTTCAAGGGGCCGTTTGCATGTAAAGTATAAAAGGGACTGGTATATACATGAAATTTACCTAGCTATAACTAGATATATATTTTACATAAATGTAAATTAAAAAAACAAAAGAAAGTATAATTACACATCATATATCACGCACTCATGAAAAATCATTATATTTGGCTATTGAGAACATTTTTTAACCGACGACTACAACATTTGGCAAACTAAGTATTCCACAGCATCGCTCCAGAATAACTTATTCTCTTTTTCATAATTATAAAATTGATTTTAGGCGTCGGAATTTGAAAACTCTGATTACCCCTTACTTCAAACATTGAGCTATTGCTTGATTTACGCAGTTGTATCTTACTTTACATGCATGAGAATTGCTTTTTTGTTTTCATCCTATCGCTTGATCTTATTTCATACGATTTACCCGTTGTGATCCTGCATTATTTGTAACTTTTTAATCAAATAATTGCAGGAGTTATCTCAAATAAGACTACAATAGGCGAAATGGGGTAAAATTATAGCATTATAAATTTGCACCAAAGTCCTCATTGCATGCCGTATATAAGCTTTCATACGTCTTATTACACCAATTCCTTTTGAAACCTTGGAGACAATTGCAATTATATGATTTTTCAACAAAAGTCAACGACAATAAATTCTTATTATTTCCTAATCTTGTTGATGCCTATTATCATATCTTCATTTTTTCCTGTATTAAGAGTTAATTTTTTGGTTAAAGCAGCTACCTGTATGTATCCTTTCCAATTAAGTCATTATTTAATTGATTTTGAACAGATATTATTTTGAATTACTATTTTTTGTAATATTCGTATCATCGGCGAACATTGATGCATTTAAATATGTTAGGCGGTTTGGAAGGTAGTTTTATTACTTACAGTACTGTCCTGAAATACCCTAACACTGCGTTTGCGATTCGGTTTGCGATCAGGACAAGTTGCGGTTCGGTTGCGGTCGACCGATAGAAACCGCAAAGGACCACAAGGGAAAAATACGACCGCGGTTGCCGTTCGCTCCGGAACGGAATTTTACGAACAGCTGAAAACGACAACACAATAACCATATCGAGAAAATCTTAAGAAATGTCTGTCAGGCCGGTGTTTAACCTCCGTCTCACCACGAGTGGACCTCGGTCTGACCTCGGTTCAACCGTGACCAGGCTGAGGTGTGACCTAGGTTAACCGCGGTTTTTGTTAGCTTATTTCTGTACAGTACTGTATCCGATGATGACTTTCCACATGTCCTTCCGGTTATTCCTAATTTTACTCAATCTCTCTGTAAAGTAATCCTTTTTTATCTCTCTTCTATTTTCCTAAAGAAACATATTTTTATCGTGTTTGTATTGTTATAGTTATTTTAATGGCTCTTTTCTTCGAATAGACAATTTCCGACATATAATAGCTATATAAATCAGACTATGGTCGCTTAATGACGCTTATTCCCAAAAATTTCTGGTAAATTTCTTATATTCTCTCTTATATTATCTGATTTGTTCTCAATAGCCGAATGTATCTGGCTTACTTGTATATTTTTATGCTCAAAAGGCAAATAGTATCCTCTGTGCAAAACTCATTTAATTTGGCAGTGATCTTACCTATTTTAGGTTCATAACTTGGACTTCATAACTTAATCAGTCCTCACAATGACTTCAGGTAAGATGATTCCTGATCAGTGCTTTCTTCTTCTTTGGCGATATTCAAAATGTCCCAGTAACAATGTCCTTAGGACTTTGGTAGTTTGGTCAGCCAGCCGCCAGGTTAATTTGTGCCAACATGTAGAATTAACTCCTCATGCAGGTTTCTTTGCTATGCAAGGTTTGATGCGATGCCTCATATTCCCTGTTAATTGAATCTGGACATGTTTTGGCTTTCGGTTGAGATTTTGCGAGGATTAATCGTGTGTGGGCGCATTTGTTTTCTTTATCGAACGGGCTGATCTTTCGCTCTGCATGTTTTTGCGCATTGTTGTTGTCGACCTCTTTATTCGTTTAAAAGTTATTTTATAGTTAACTCAAGGCTTAAATACGTGTAAAGTGTTCTGACTAATTTCTTGAATAAATGTTTGAGACCCTGATTACTGAAGATTTGAGTACATTCTTCGTTTACTCCGTTTTGATCTGTATAGTTGAGTATATACATTCAATATTTTCATTTACTCATGAAAGGATGATTAAAGTGTATGATGTACTCAAAATAATTGAAACAATTGATCCATGGGAGAAGAGAAATAAACATATAGAAATGATAGAGCTATCCAGTGGAAAATAAAGTTAGTTTAGATCTCGATAGTCCGCACTAATTGTGCTGATTAACTGTAAAAATTACTGAACATGCACGAGCTTTACAGTTTCAAAATATCAAACTACCCTATTGTTGTAATACCGTCGGCAGAGAAGACTGAAGTTGAAGTCGGCTTGTTTTGGTCATCATAACTCAGGAATGATGGTAAATTAACTCATGGGCAGAAATTACTTATATAAAGCATAGCTTTACCAACTTTTCTATTTCGATCAGAGTTAATTGCTTGCTCGTTTGTCACTACTGTTGATATGCTCAATTCTTCTCTATCTTCACTCTTATTTTTGAAAGTTTTACTGCAGCAGTTGCACCTGTTTGTATTAGGAAATTGTTGATAGAATATATGTAAAAACAGGTTCAAACCTGTAAAAGGAAAAAGAATTCGCAATCCCATTAGGCTTTGTCAGCTTATTTGCATGTCATGAGAAATCACTGAACGTGCTCTGGAATACCAAGAATTGTACTTAGCCCGATTTCGTTGATCACAAGCAGTTGTCGAAATCGAAATCTGTACAACATAAAGTATTTTTAAAGACGTTTTCGTGTTTGAATTTTAGAGTGAACATTGTCACTAGAAACTCTCAATATGTAGGCACATCACGACATATAATTAATGTATTTCTAAAGAAATTTTATTGTCTACTAATTTTGGCGTAAATTTTGTCATGCACTAGAAAAGCACATGCAACATCCGCTTTTAATACGGTCTAAAAATGAAACAAGGTAAACGTGTATGCTTTCGACTTTGTCTGGGGATATAGCTACAGTGTATAGCTATACAAGTTTAAGAGTATAGTCAAAAAGTTTTTAGTTATTTTGATGCTTCAGTGACATGACATATGTATATAGTAGCTCTAAATTCGTTAACTCTTATTCTCTATATCATGTCAAACCCATGTAATACAATATTGATCGGCTTTTGCCTTCGTGATTGTTATCGTCGTTTTATATTTTAAAAACACAACCAGTGGTCCGGCCTCGTAAAGTTCACCTCACAGCAAATTTTGCCTTAGTTGAAACTTGAAATTCCCTAAATTTTTAGTTCACTATACTTCGACGCAACTTTTCGTGTTTAATTTTGGCGTAAATACTTTGTCACTATAGATAAACTCATGGCACATTACAACATAATTTTTATCTATAAATAAATTTTGGTGTAAATTTTGTCATACTATAGAAAAACACAACCTCCACATTACAGTCAAAATAATATGAAACAAGGAAAAAATGCTTTCGACTTTGTCTTGGGATATAATATATACTAGTTCAGATTAAAAATACCATGTACATGTATTAAATATAGCACATTATTTTTTAGCTCTACCAGTTGAAGTGTATAATCAAAACATTGTTAGTTATTTTGATGCTTCAGTAACATGACATGTGTAGTAGCTCTAAATGTGTTAACTTTTATTCTTTATCATATCAAACCCAAAGGCATGTAATACATTGGCTTTTTCCTATTATCATTGCTATCGTCGTTTTATATCTTATAAACACAATCAGCCAGTGGCCCGGCCTAGTAAAGTTAAGGCTTTCACACTTTCACTATAACCTTTCCCGTTTATTGCTCTTTAACACACTCGTCTGCCAATCACTGCAATTTTATTTCCGCGTCTTATTTTCATCTCCTCCTTTGACAGTTTCACCCTTGTGCCGATCGAGCTTTGGCGTTGGTAAATTTGTGAGTTTGAAATTAAAATTCCCTAAATTTTTTCTATACTTCACTGATTTCTATTCTGACGCAACTTTTTTTTGACGCAGCTGTGTTTAACCGGTTTAAACGAGACTCATTGAGGGTATCGAACAAATTATAGTGTAATTTTTTCTTAAAAAATGACAATTCGACGCAATTAGTGCTTTTAGCTACATCCAACCACTGCATGACGAAATCGTCTGTCAATACAGGGAAAGAATAATTTTGAACTTTTCTTTAGCAATGAATCGCATAAACAATAATATTCGCTGTGGAACATATGTTGAAGTCAGCTGTGCAGGTTAGCTTGAGACCTAGCTTGATGTTGTGGTATCAAAATATACAGAAAAGCTAACAGAAACGTACAGAAATAATTAAAGCTCAATTCTACAATACCAATTCTACTTTCGTTTTGAGCTCAAATTATATAGAACTAAAATTCCTTAAATTCTTTTCTCTGCCATGCACACTGATTTCTGTTTTGCACAACAAACCTGTCCATATATGGTTATTTTCGATCTACAAAAGATGCAGCTGTTTAACCGGTTTAAACAAGATTTGTTGAAGGTATCGATCAAATTCATTTAAACAATAAAATTTGCTGTGAAGCATTATTTTTAAGTCGGCTGGGGGTATATGAAGCCGTTCTGCACTTAACCCCCTAATTCTGTTTCTTAAAGCAAGTTCACTATTTTATGCCAAGAGAATATAGGTATAATTACGATTACTTAAAACAAGGGATAAAATTGAACAATAGTTTAAGTTTCATTCTGTAGATCAATAAGAGATGATGATCAACTTCTATCAAGAACAGTTTAGAAGTGATAGGGCTATCCAGTTAAAATATAGTTAGTTTAGTTTAGGTTTCCTCCTGTAGTAACACTAGATCAATAACAGAAGATCCTTACTGGACCTCTAGGAAGAACAGTTTAGAACTGATAGAGCTATCCAGTATCAAAATAAAGATAATTTAGGTCTCCGCAGTCCGCACTGAGCGTGCATTACGTAAACTTTGTCCGTGAAAAATCCCTCAACATGCACGCAAGCTTTACAGTTTGAAATATCAAACAACGCTATTAATAATACCGTGGGTAAAAAAGACTGAAGTTGAAGTCGGCTTGTTTTGGTCATCGTAACTCAGGAATGATGGTAAATTAACTCATGGGCAGAAATTACTTAGATAAAGTATAGCTTTACCAACCTTCCTATTTTGATCAGAGTTAATTGCTTGCTCGTTTGTCACTACTGTTGATATGCTCAATTCTTCTCTATCTTCACTCTTGTTTTTGAAAGTTCACTGCAGCTGTTGCACCTGTTTGTATTAGGAAATTCTGTGTTATGTCAAGTCATATGTTGTATGCTAGGCGGTTAGCCCCTTAATAACTTAGTACATATACTCTTCCCAAGGGTATATATAGAAATGGTTTTTTTGGTAAAGTGCAGGGGCGGAATGACTTTGCATATTCGTTTTGTCCATATTTGGTCATAGAATATATGTAAAAACAGGTTCAAGACAGGTTCAGACAAAGAATTCGCAATCCCAGTAGGCTTTGCCAGCTTATTTGTGAATTATATGCATGCCCAGCCCCTCTGAATAAACGATGCTACGTAGTTATGATCATGCAGGTATTTTTGTCTTTCTGTGTTTGTCACCACAAAGTGAATGGAATCAAAGAGAATTATTATACATCACTCTTAAAAATCAAAACTACATTTCATAGCCTGAGCTTCCCCCTATTATTTCGAAAATTTTTTCACATTGCGCGAATTTCCTATAGGTCAGGGCTCCAGTAAATATTAGGATCATCTCCTATCAATTGATCCAGTGTTACTACAGGAGGAAACATAAACTAAACTAACTTTATTTATACTGGATAGCTCTATCAGTTCTAAACTGTTCTTCTCAGAGAATGGCATTATTATTGTATTTTGGATATGGTATTACGAATACTTCAAAACACTTATTTAACGACGCTGCTATATATAGGCGAAGTATGTGGTATAGTTGGAATGGCCAATATAAAACCGCTTACAAATCAATATTGGTGATAGATTGCACTGCAGAGACAAAGACCCAAAACAAAAAAAATGTTGAAATTGTTAAACTCTACGTGAAATGTAAAGATGTATGCATGTTAATATGAGAAAATCACTGACCGTGCTCTGGAATACCAAGAATTGTACTTAGCCCGATTTCGTTGATCACAAGCAGTTGTCGAAATCGAAATCTGTACAACATAAAGTATTTCTAAAGACGTTTTCGTGTTTGAATTTTAGCGTGAACATTGTCACTAGAAACTCTCAATATGTAGACACATCACAACATTACAACATTTGGCGTAAATTTTGTCATGCACTAGAGAAACACAACTTCCAAATCACGGTCTAAAAATGAAATATGCTTTCGACTTTGTCTGGGGATATAGCTACAGTTTATAGCTATACAAGTTGAAGATTACAGTCAAAAAGTTTTTATTTATTTTGATGCTTCAGTAACATGACATATGTATATAGTAGCTCTAAATGTGTTAACTTTTATTCTCTATATCATGTCAAACCCATGTAATACATTGATCGGCTTTTGCCTTCGTGATTGTTATCGTCGTTTTATATTTTAAAAACACAACCAGTGGTCCGGCCTCGTAAAGTTCACCTCACAGTAAATTTGTGAGTTGAAACTTGAGATTCCCTAAATTTTTACTTCACTATACTTTGACGCAACTTTTTGTGTTTAATTTTGGCGTAAACACTTTGTCACTATAGATAAACTCATGGTACATTACAACATAATTTTTATCTATAAATAAATTTTGGTGTAAATTTTGTCATACTATAGAAAAACACAACCTCCACATTACAGTCAAAATAATATGAAACAAGGAAAACATGCTTTCGACTTTGTCTTGGGATATAATATATACTAGTTCAGATTAAAAATACCATGAACATGTATTAAATATAGCACATTATCTTTTAGCTATACCAGTTGAAGAGTACAGTCAAAATGTTTTTAGTTATTTTGATGCTTCAGTAACATGACATGTGTAGTAGCTCTAAATATTTTAACTTTTATTCTTTATCATATCAAACCCAAAGGCATGTAATACATTGGCTTTTTCCTATCATCATTGCTATCGTCGTTTTATATCTTATAAACACAATCAGCCAGTGGCCCGGCCTCGTAAAGTTAAAGCTTTCACACGTTCACTAACCTTTCTCGTTTATTGCTCTTTAACACACTCGTCTGCTAATCACTGCAATTTTATTTCCGCGTCTTATTTTCATCTCCTCCTTTTACAGTTACACTCTTGTGCCGAACAAGCTTTGGCGTTGGTAAATTTTGTGAGTTTCAACTTAAAATTCCCAAAATTTTTTCTATACTTCACTGACTTCTATTCTGACGCAACTTTTTCGACGCAGCTGTGTTCAACCGGTTTAAACAAGATTCATTGAAGGTATCGAACAAATTATAGTGTACCTTTTGCTAGAAAAATCACGATTCGCTGCAATTAGTGCTTTTACATCCAACCACTACATGACGAAATTGTCTGTCGATGCAAGGAAAGAATAATTTTGAACTTTTCTTTAGCAATGAACCGCATAAATAATAATATTCGCTGTGGAACATATGTTGAAGTCAGCTGTGAGGTTAGCTTGAGACCTAGCTTGATGTTGTGGTATCAAAATATACAGAAAAGCTAACAGAATCGTACAGAAATAATTAAAGCTCAATTCTACAATACCAATTCTACTTTCGTTTTGAGATCAAATTATAGAACTATTTTGCATAACCAATCTACAGAAGATGCAATTGTTTAACCGGTTTAAACAAGATAGATATAGCCACGTTTACAAATCAATATTGGTGATAGATTGCACAGAGACAAAGACCCGAAACGAAAAAAATGTTGAAATTGTTAAACTCTACGTGAAATGTAAAGATGTGTGCATGTTAATATGAGAAAATCACTGACCGTGCTCTGGAATACCAAGAATTGTACTTAGCCCGATTTCGTTGATCACAAGCAGTTGTCGAAATCGAAATCTGTACAACATAAAGTATTTCTAAAGACGTTTTCGTGTTTAATTTTAGAGTGAACATTGTCACTAGGAAAACTCAATATGTATAGGCACATCACGACATAATGTATTTCTAAAGAAATTTTCTTGTCTACTAATTTTGGCGTAAATTGAGCGATGAAATGCTTTCGACTTAGCCTAAACTTGTTTGAGGATATTTTGAGGATATTTTGATGCTTCATGCAAGTAACATGACATGACATGTGTGGTAGCCCTAAATGTGTTAACTTTTATTCTTTATCATGTTAAACCCATGTAATACATTGATTGGCTTTTGCCTATCATCATGATTGTTATCATCGTTTTATATCTTATAAACACAATCAACTAGTGGTCCGCGGCCGCGTAAGTTCACCTCACAGCTTTCGCACTTTCACTAACCTTTCCTGTTTATTGCTCTTTAACAAACTGCTAATGACATTTTCGCGTCTTATTTTCGCCTCCTCCTTTGACAGTTTCGCTCTTAGGCCAATGGAGCTTTGGCGTTGAAACCGCTTTAAATTCTCCAAATTTTCTCTATACTTAACTGATTTCTATTTTGACGCACTTTTTCATTTTGTCGCAGCTGGTTGTGCTTAATTAACCTGTTTAAACTGGTTTAAAGTTCATTGAAGGTAGCTTGAGACCTAGCTTGATGTTGTGTTATCAAAATATACGGAAAAGCTAACAGAAACGTACAGAAATAATTAAAGCTGTGCTGGTATAATTCTCAAGTATATATTTCGCTTTTTTTAACTTCTCAAACAGTCCGGAAATTATCCTAGTTTATATGAATTGTACGTGTTGTCCGAAGTTGTTTTTCTATTTCAAAGAATTTACGGAATTTACTGTGCATCGTATATATGTGTACTTCGGAGAAGTTTAAGACCTGTCGATCTCAGAAAATGTTGAAACTCAACAATTTTAGTTTTCAAATATGATAAAGACCTAGCTATACTAACCTACTTGGTGTGGCCTTGGTGGAGCGCTAGGAGCCATTCACTTTATACTGTTCCTTCAGGGACTCATCAGGCCCAATATATACGCAGAATTTTGCAATTAAATTAGGGCTCTTTTGATTTTCTATAATTAGTTTCTCCAAATATTGTTGCATTTTCATGATATTTTATAAAATGCAATCATGCTCTATGGATACAGTTACAGGGGTAATTCATTTTTTATTATACAAATGCAGCAGTGGTGGATATATAGGGGTGTGCAGAATAAATTACTACAGCTTAAAATCAGTATCGCATTTGTAGATTTTAATGTAAAAATATTCTTTTCAAATCTATAACCATGCAATGGCGTTGTTATTAAGGTGTTTTGAATTTAAAATGATTTTGAATTTATATTATTGTTTTTCCCAAGATTGAAGGGTTTATAAGTTCGTCGTTTCTTAGCTGTCAACTGTACCATCTGAGACAAACTGCTGAAATACACAAAAGAAGAAATTCACTTCGCGGAAAAAATATCACTAGTGGTTTTTCTTGTTTGCATAGTTGCATCTGAATTGTTCAATTTTAATGGCAAACGGAAAACATGAAAAAATATAACCGCAGGGAGCCTGAACGTGGCAATGTTTGTTTTCAGGTATAAAGATTTTCAGTGCCACGTTGAAAAACGACATGTTACTCGGCCTTTTCCAATTATGATATTCATCATCCTTGACGAGTACTGTTCTAAATTATACGCCCCGCTGTAGTCTTAATTTTCATATCTATATGGCTGAATGTCGAAAACAGTATAATATATTATAAGGGCTGGCTGGCCCTTACACTGTTGAATTTGTCAATTATTTGGTGTAGGTGCGAGTGACTATACCCAGGTAGACAGTGATTTATTTGGACAGACATGCGGTTGTTCATATCTGCGAGAAAACGAGTACTAGGAATTTGGAAATATTGAATAACCCCTGCAGAAAACCATGCAGTACACTATCAGGGTTTACATCGGCGATTTCATGTCCGATTGTCATCACGCTTTCGTCCCCATGCAGCAACCGGTATAGCTTCAATGTCACCGTGAGGTCCATACACCATTGTATTTGAGTATATTAAAGATTAAATTTCAACTTAGTTGTTTCAGTTTTAAATAGACATGGTCTACAACGGATGAAATAATCCTGGCGTGAAGAAGGCACGGAATAATCAATAAACAGACTAGCTGTTGGCTATTGTTATGGCTTCTAGCTAATGCATAAATTTTCTCGTAAACAATTGAGTTGTATTTGTT